TTCTGACTGGTGTGAGGTGATACCTCATTGTAGTTTTGACTTGAAAGAGTTTTTTCCCTCCAGCTTTACTGAGGTTTAATTGACAAATAATATTTTTCCATATTTAAAGTGTCCAGTGTGATATTTTGATGGATGTATGTACACGATGTGAAGTTTTTACCACAATCAAGCTGCTTAACACCATCATCTCACAGTTACCTTTTTTGGTTTGAGAACAATTAAGATCTACTGTTAGCAAATTTCAAGTATATGATACAGTATTGTGAATGACAGCCACCCTGTTGTATATTATATCTCTAGAAATTATCCATCCTATATATCTGAAACTCCAAAGGAAATGAAATCAGTACCTCAAAGAGATAACTGCAACCCCATGTTCATTGCAGCATTTTTCACAATAGCCAAGATATGGAAACAACCTAAGTGTCTGTCAATGGATGAAGGGGCAAAGGAAATGTGATTGAGATATATATATATATATATATATATATCTCAATACACATATATATACATATATATATGAATATGAATATATATGTGAATATTATTCAGCCTTTAAAAAGAAGGGACTCCTGTCAATGCAACAGCATAGAAGGACTTCGAGGGTATTATGCTAAGTGAAATAAGCCAGACACAGATGGATAATACTACAGGATCTCACTCACATATGGCATCTAAGAAAGTCAGACTCTTAGAAGCAGAGGGTAGAATGGTGGTAACTTGGGGCTGAAGGGTGAGGAAAATGGAGAGGTGTTGATCAAAGAAAGGAGTTTTAACAATCTGTCTCTGCTAAAGCTGCCATCGCCCAGAGATCTTAACTCCACTTGAGCAGAAGTCTTGAGCAGGTCCTGCTATGATGGTACAAGTCTGTGCCTTAGAGAAGTTGTGCATTGTCTCATCACATGACACTCACTAGAACGTGGATGGGGCTGTGCTATGCTACCTGTTATTGTAGAGACTTTCAGGAAATAGTGCTTTTCATTTTCATTCTGAGTCCTTGCTCCCTAGCACTCAAGACAGCCCCAGTGGCAGACCCTGTGTTATGCTCAGTTGTTTCTCCTCAAACCCACGGCATACTCCTCACATCAAAGTGTGTCCCAGTGTTCCTTTCCCTTGGGATGAGTGCCCTGCAGGCAGGAGCCTCTGCTCTCAGGCCTCCTGCATGGAGCCCTCAACCATGCCAGGTGCTCCTGTGACCACAGGTCAACATGGGCTCTACCTGGGACCCCTGCTCCAATTCTTTTATCCTTTCACTCAAAATCATTTAGTGAGTTCCTTCTCCAACAGATACTAACCTGTGTGTAATGTAAGAAGAAATGAGAGAAAGACCTTGCCCTCAGGAAATCTACTGTATTTTCACACTGAATATCTCTGAATATAAATGACTTTTCTGGTAATGAGCAATGGAAGATCAGAAGAAGCAAACATAATTGATTAGAGGCATCTGAGGAAGTTTATGACGCTAAACTGGGCCTTGACGGATACGTAGAGTTTGAACAAATGTTATCACTGTTGATGTCCTCATAACTTTTCTAATAAGGGTCTGTCCATGTAACAGAAGAGAAAAAATGTGGGGTCCAAAAACTCTAAACATTTGAAAGGCTGTCAACATTGTAGAAGGAGTAGGTTTTTTTCCTACAGCGCCAAAGACTAGAAGAACATAACTGAGTGGGAGTTACAAAAGGCAAGTTTTAAAAGTTTAAATTTTATCTGCTATTTTCAAAAGGCGGCTATGTGAAGTACTTTGTCAAGCACGTGCTACCTATTAGGGATATCATAGAATAATAGTTCTCAAAGTAGGATCTGGGAACCCTGAAGTTCCCTGAGACCCTCTCCAGGGATCCATGAGGTCAAAATGAATTTAATAATAATAATACTGTGGTAGGCAGAATAACACTCTCCCAAAGAGGTCTATGTTCTAGTTTCAGGAACCTATGAATATGTTACATTAATGGCAAAGGGGGTTAAGGCTGTAAGGAATTAAAGTTGTTAATCATGGGACCTTAAAATAAAGAGACTGTGCTGCATTGTGTGTGAGTGAGTCCAGTGTAATAACAAGGGTGTGGAAGAGGGAATCTGAAGAGGAGCCCAGAGAAATGGTAGTGTGTGGAGGACTGAGTCCAGCATTGCTGAGCTTGAAGGTGGAAGAAGGGGCCAAGGATGAGAAATGCTGGTCGCCTCTCAAAGCTGGAAAGGAGAAAAAAACCAGATTCTCCTCGAGAGCTTTCAGAAAGAACACAACCCTGCCAGCACCTTGATTTTAACTCAGTGAGACCCATTTTGGATTTCGGATCTTCAGAACTGTAAGATAATACATTTGTGTTGTTCTAAGCCTCTTAATTTGTAGCAGTTTGTTACAATAGCAGTAGAAAATAATACAAACACTAAGATGTTTTTTGACTTTTTCACTCTCATTCTTTCATGAGTGCGCAGTGGGGCTTTCCAGGGGCTATTTGAAGAAATAATACAACAGATTGAATACAGAGGCAGATGTGAGAGAAGAAAAACTATCTTCTATTAATCAGACATTAAAGGTTTTTGTAAATATGTAAAACAGTGCCACTCCTCTTATAAATTTCTGGAAAATGCAATTATTTCTCATAAAAATGTTATTTATCTTAACATGTAATAGGTTGAGATTTAAATTTCTAATATGTTACATCTTGATAGATATAACCTGCATAAACAAAACTATTTGGGATTGTGAATAATTTTTAAGAATATAAAGTAGACACTGAAACCAAAAAAACCTGAGAACTGGGAGCTCCTAATCTTCCATTTCTAAGGCCATATGAATATACCAAAAGGACACAGCACAGATTTTGATGTGAGAGATGAGCAGGAAAGGTCATCATTTCATGGATGAGAGCCACGTTGTGAAGAGCAGAGCAGAGAGGTGCACCACATGGTTACTTTTGGAAGGACATGGGTCTCAAAAGATGTCAAAGGTTTGTGGGAGCCCCAGTAAGAATGGAGGAAGCAGAGAATACACTTCTTCTGTACATGTATTATATATGTATTTGCTATCCTGCACTACCTTCTCTGCTAGAAAATGAAGAAGAAACCCTGGATAAAATAATACACACATACACACTGTTTGGAATATGTAGTATCTGTCTGCATTTACCCATGTGTGAAATGAATAGTTTAGAGGTGGGTGGAACCCAAATTAAAGGTCACCTGTCTCCCTACAAAATATAATTGACATCTTGAGGCAATGACCTCTTAGAAGGCATGGGAGAATCTGAAACTTTTATTCAGTCTAAAATTTTTATTCAAAAAAACTTACTCATTTCTCTGCAATACTACTTTACTCAGATGGAAGCTGGGTGATTTCCCATATGGATGATTTCAAAGTTTCTAAGCCAAAGCAAAACTACTTGCACTTGAACCCGAAAACCTTGCGGTGGATCACTGAAGCTATAGCAATACATCACCGAGGCAGACCATTTACAGACTGCTGTACTCGGCCGAGTACCAGGAAAAAGGCAAGAGAAGTTTTTGAGCTGCCTAAATAGTCATCAAGGATTCCAAGCACTGAAGGTCATGCAATTGGCCATTAGAACAGCCTCTCAAATGCTGTTAACTGTGATTCTACATGCGTCTAACACACTTGCTGATATAACACCTAGGCCACAGCAGCCACAACAGCAGCAGAAAAATTAGCATTAGAAGGTCAAGAAAAGGGAGCCCCGAGGGCAGGCACCCTAATAGTAGACGGCATTTATTTATTGCCTCCCATATGTCTTCATTTGTATCTTCTCTAATCCTGATAGTCCTGAAGGGTAAATGCTGTTCTTCCATTTTACATATGAAAGACGTGGAGCCTTAGTGTTTGAGTAACACACCTGACACCATGTGCCACACCCAGACTTGGGTGGGGATCTCCGCTGAATACAAATCACAGAGGTCAGTGTTTACGCCCATACATTTCAGCATTTTTCTTCCTCCAATTGGGCTTCTAGGCAAAAATTTTTAAAACAAAATACATAGACAAGGTTTTGGAATAAAAATATCTTGAAGATTGCATTCAGTACTTAAGTGTTGTCACTTCATGAATTCTAATTACCAAAATAAAAGATGCTCATTAAAACGTGTTCATCCTTTCTCTCGGATCTTTTTTCATTGCATCTTTCTTCATAGAAGGAATTCAGAGAAAAGCTATTTAAATAAAGAAGCAGATGATTTTAATGAAGCCATGTTTTTAAAAGACTGCTTTTATTTTAACTCATTAGATCTATTTCAGAATTAGGTCAGAACCAATTTCTCCTTGAAGACTTACAATGCCAGGGCTTCTAGAGTTGGATTAGGGAGAAGGGTAAAAGCCTCCAGGAAGATGCTTTGGAGAAAAGATAGGAAAGTGGCCCAAGGGGACCTAAACTTCCCTGGAAAATGCTTCAAACAAGGGTGGGCTGGAGTGGGCTGCAGGGAGGGGGCAGCAATGAGGAAGGGATGGCTGGGGCATATTTCTTTTTTTAAGGAAAAAATCTCGGTGGTTATTTTCCTTCTTTGTGTCTCAGGAAACCACTAGCCATTTCTGAGTCCTCTCTTCTTCCCAAACTCCTTCCTTTCTCTCCATCCCCCTACCCTCACCCATCACCTGTCCTCTTTCTTCTCCCCTCCTACCTCTTCTAGCTCATTCTTTCCTTTCTTTTCAGCCATCTGTTTTCTCTTTGTACACTCTCTTCTTTATTTCCATTTCTTCTTTCCTTTTGTTCCACAGTTTTCTTGACATCCTTATTATTTAAAGAAATCCTCCAAAGAACAGTGCTATCCCCCCAAATATCACATCCTCCTGGAGTTTAGCTGGGTCTCAAGACAGCTGCCTTCTGCTGTCCTCACAGGAATACGAATTTCATCATGGAACTACAGCTGAACTGCTTTCATTTTATAACACTCTAGCATAAAGTTCATCTTTATTCTTCAAGGCTACCGTCTATACATTTCGATTATAATCGTCTCCTTTATAAATGTAGCAAATTCAACTCTTATTTTTGCAAAGAATCTCAAAAGCATAAATAACTAATGTACATAGCTAAACTTCTGGAAGCTCAGTGAGGGCAGGGACATGTTGTTCCTTTATGTATTTATTTTTTTAGACCACTGTATATGCAAAGTCTGCACCATGCCAGGAGTATAGAAAACTGTCCATATTTGTGGTTGAAAGGATGAACGAATTTAAAATTCTATAACTCTACCATCTATAATTCTTAATTCAGACCAAAGCACGGAAGAAATTAAACCAAAGGGCTTGAAAGTGGATAATAGTTCTGGAAAGGAATTGAATTAGTCTTTTATGTATTATCTCTTTGCTCTTTATTTTAATGAAGGACTCTAAAAGGTAAAAATTGTATCTAGTAAAATTTCACTTAACCAGAAAACAAGAATATATAATTAGTTGTACTTTTAGGAAGACTAGAGGAATGTAGAAGACAAAAAGTGAATAGGGAGACATTGGAAAAATATCAGTGCTGAGGATGTTTTTGAAGTCATAATGTGCGTTATGCAAACCAGCTCCTATTGCAGTCTACATCCACACCCCAGGTTCACGGGCTAATGTGCAGGGAGGTAAGTCTCTATAGCTAAGTTGTGTGCTTTCAAGAATTGCCCTTTCTCTGGTGTATGCACATCTGTACGTGCACCGTCTTGCTGACTGACTACATGAATATGTGTGTGTCTCTTTGTCAAAAGAGTATCAAAATCTTCACTTTTATTCTCTCTCTCTATTTAAAAAAAATTACCCCCCAGCCATAAATCTCTGAATCCACCCTGAAAAGTGTGCAGATCTAAAAAAAAGAAGGTATTTGTTGGCTGTAAAATCCCCAAGTCAAGGAGAATAACGATTAATATTTCTTCTCTTATCCTCAGGAATGAACAGAACACCAGCACACCGATGTAGCACCTGCTTGGCAGTTTTCATTAAAATAAAATTATTGAGGGAAAAAGACACATGGATCTATCTGCCAATAAGTTCACAAACAGCTACAGGAAAAGTTGCTACAGGTGCCAACATGAAGAAAGAAGAGACTCTGACTAGAGAAGCAATGGTTTTAAAGGTAAAATATCAAGAACTCTTGAATTCGTAATTACATACAATATATTCCTTTCTCTTTTAAATCTTTGAAGCTAGTACTGTAAATGGATTAGAGAACAAAGTTCCACTAAAATTGCTTTGAATAATGCTGCAATACCATGGAGCAGATATGTCTTTCAGACAGTGATTTCATTTTTTTTCCAATAAATACCCAGAAATGGAATTGCTGGATCATATGGTAATTCTATTTTTAACTTTTTGAGGAATCTCCATACTGCTTTCCACAGTGGCCGGACCAATTTACATTCCCACCAATAGTGCAGAAGTGTTCTCTTTTCTCCACATCCTTGCCAACACTTGTTATTTCTTGTCTTTTTGATAATTGCCACTCTAATGTGTGAGGTAATATCTCACTGTGAGTTTTTTTCTTTCTTTTTAATTGTATTTTGATTTGCATTTCCCTCTCTATTTGTGATGTTGAGCATCTTTTCATGTGTCTATTAGCTGCTGTATGCCTTTCTCCTTTGGAAAAAATGTCTATTCGGGTCCTTGGCCCATGTTTTTAAGTGGATTGTTTGGTTTTTTGTCATTGAGTTGCGTGAGTTCCTCATATATTTTGGATATTAACACCTTATCAGATAGACGATTTGCAATATATACTTGTATTAAATCTTCACATGGTACATCTTAAACTTACACATTACATATCAAGTATATTTTAATAAAGCTGGTAAAAAGAAGAAAAATTTTAAATTGCTTTGGCTTTGGAACTTTGGATGCATTCATACTTTTTTAAATCCATGAAATATTTAAGACTTTTCTATTTCGGTGTCTTTCCCTATAAATATAGGTCATCATGCTACTAGTACACCTGGTTAGTGCAGGTAAAGACAGTTGACCTGAGGTCTGTGATAAGGAGCCCATTGTATGGGATCTGAACCTTTTAAGGCCAGAGAGCTTTCTTCTGTCCTTGCCACAGGCTGCATCATTACCTAATACCAAATTCAGTGTTCTTTTCAAAACTTAGTGATTTTGTTCACTAACTTTAAGGGGAAAGGGCCAAATGCAAATGAGCATTTAACTTTTAAGAAAGCCACTGCAGTCATCTTTATCAAAATTTAAATTGTAATCACTTTTATTAAAATTTAATTCCATTAGTCATGCCTTGAGATGGTGTCTCTTCTGTGAGTAACCCAGGAACTATGAAAATGAGCTCTAGAAATGAAATTCAGATTTAGTTTAAAATACAAATGGAAGACTAAAGGAGTGAAAAATCAGAGAAGGAGAGAAGGAGAGTCAAAAGTAGAATAGCTGCCTGTTGTGCCCAAGACACCAACACCCAGGAGTAAGGGAATTCTGCAGCTCTGGCAAGTCCCTTCTCTGCTGTAGGGCTCTGGATCCTAGGATAAAGTCTTCAGGAAGCCTTGTCCTGAGGATTTTAGGATTTGGGACCTACAATATGCAGGAAATATGTTCTCTCTCCTCCTTAGAAAATTATGGTAGCCCTATACCAATACCAATACCAAGGGTTACCAATAAAAACATTTAAGGAGTAAAAGGGTCCCACATTTGGGGCTTGCAGCAGAGATGACCAGTGGCCCCCAGCCTAGTCTCTCTTTCCTCTGGAGTATTATATTCCCAAATTTTAGCTAGGCAAATGGCTGAACTGCATAATGACTAGTTTTCAGCCTCTTTTCCACTTAAGAGTAAAAATGCAGTGAAATAATTTGATAAAATTCAGCAATGTGAGGGGGAAAAAAACTCTTAGTAAATTAGATATAAAAGGGAATGTCCCAAAGAAAATAGATGGTATCTGAAAAAAAAAATCCTACAATAAATATTACTTAAATTACTTAAGTAATAAATTACTTAAAGGTAAAAATTCTGACTATTTCTCTTGGGATCAGTGATGAGAAAACAATGCATTATATCACCACTAGTATTCAACATTGAACTGGAAGGTCTTATGAGCACTAAAGGCAAAGCAATAAATTGTTTTTATATTATACAGTCTGGAAGGGAAGCTATTCATAGATGATATGATGATGTGTATAAGAATTCAAATAATTCTCAGGTAAACTACTAAAGTTGATCGGGTTGAGCAAAGTCCCAGAATTTAAAAAATCAGTATATGAAATAACCATATTTTCAGACAACAGACTCAAACAGAAAATTAAACCTTTGAAAATATACCATTTGTAAGCATATCAATAAATATAAAGTCCTTAGAATAAATCCAACAAAAGATGTGTAAGACTTCTAACAGGGACATTAGAAAACCTTACTGAAAAACATTATAGTAGAATTAAATAGAGAAATATACCTTGTTCAAATATAAGAAGACTCAGTGTTACAACAATTTAAATTATTCTCAGATTAATTTATAAATTCAACATAACCTCGATCCAAACACCAGCTCATTTGCATGCATGTGAGTACGTAATGTGCTTTCATAAAATTTATGAAAATGCAAAAGACCAAAACTTAACAAAATAGACTTCAAAATAAATACAAAGGTGAGAGAATTTGACAGGAAAATTTAAAGCACTGATAATCAAGATAATGTTTATGGATAAGATATAAATAAAAAAATTTAATGGAACAGAATAGATATCTGTAAACAGTCCCATGTATATATAATTCATAACAGATGTGGCACTTCAAAGCGCTGAGAAAAAAAATTTTTTTAAATATTAATAGACTTCTTTTTAGCGGTTTTAGGTTTATGGAAAATTGAGCAGAGTGTACAGAACAGAGTTCTCAAATATCCCTCACCCACCCCCAATTTTCTCTGTTATTTACACCTTGTAGTTGTAATATTTGTTGCAACTGATATATCAATGTTGATATGTTATTATTAACTAAAGAACATAGTTTACATGAAGGTTCACTCTTTGTGTTGCACATTTTATGGGTTGTAACAAATGTATAATGACATGTGTCAATCATTACTGTATCATACAGAATAGTTACACTGCCCTAAAAATCCCCTGTGCTCTGCTTATTCATCCTTCTCCCTCTCCTGCCCCCAACCCCTGGTAACCAATGGTCTTTTTATTGAAAAAAAATACTTTTAATAAATGGCTTCAGGACAATTAAGTATAGGTGAAAATTTTTTAATTAAATATTTACCTCATCCCAAACACAAAATCAATCACAGATGGATTAAAAGTCTAAATGTATAATCCCAAACCATAAAGTTTTAAGGAAGACTATAAGAGGATATTTTCATATCTGGTCATAGACAGATTTCATAAACAAGCTACAAAAACCCCAACTACAAAGGAAAAATGATAAATTTGACTACATTAAAATTAAGACATCTGTTCATCAAATGATATTATGAAAAGAGTGAAAAGATACATCATAAAGTGGAGGAAGGAAGATGTTTGCAGCAATATAACCAACAAAGAACTACTAACATATATAGAAGATATTGAGAACTATAAATCAATCCCCCCAAAACAACAAGACCACACACAAAAATGTTCATAGTAACCTTTTTCATAATCACAGAAAACTAAAAACAATTATATACCCATCAACAAAATGAATAAATTGTGCTATATTCATTCAATGGAATACTATAACACTAAAAATGAATGAGCCACAGAGATCCACAGAAATACGGACATCTCAAAACATGTTGACAGAGGAAAAGCAAGTCATAAAAAATGCATATAGCATAATTCTGTTTGTATAAAATCCAGAAACTGGCAAAAATGAACTCTAATGTTTAGGAATACATAAGGAAAAGGAGAGAAATGTTTACTGTAAAAGTCATAGCAATAGTTATCTCTAAAGGGGGAGTAGATTGTCACTAGGAAAGGATGCTCTAAGGGTTTATGGAAAGCCATTAATGTTTTATTTCTTGAATTGTGTGTTCACGCCAGAAACTTTTGTAAGGTAGTCCATATGTGTTTTACACACTTGTCTATATCATTGTTTCATTAAAAATGTTAATTTTTAAAAATGTGTGTTAAAAATAAAACATAATTCTCACTCCTTTAATACATAAATAAATAGGGAACAAGGAATAGCTTTTCGTTTCAACAAAATTCCAATTAGTAAATGAAGAAGGGAGAGAGTGATGTCAACAAGGTGGTTGAATAGTTTTCTATCATCATCATCTCCTATAAAAGATCCGCTTTGACAACTACCCACAGATCAGTGTACCTTTGTGGGAGACTGAGTATCCAGCAGAAAGTTCTAGTGCACTGTTGGAGTAAAAAACCCAAGAATAGATGCATTGAAGAAGGTAAGAACGGTTTTATTTTATCCATGTTACCTCTCTCCTCCATGGCAGCACAGCTCAGTGCCAAATTCTCCCACAGGGAAAGTGAGAATATAGTGAGTGAGTGTCTGGTTTCCCTAGCCCTGTGGGACACTGCCCAAGAAGTCTACTTCTTTCTCACCCATCTCAGAATACTGAGGTAACTGGCTTGACTCAGGGGTTGGGAGAGGCTGGGAGCCCAGCAACCAGGACTTGGAACTCATCAAAGAGCTGCTACTACTACTAACCACCTTGCAGACTCCATCAGGAAGCCACTTGGGATGCTTTGCCTGCAAACCCCTCCAACTGGCCCATAGGCATCCCCAACATTCCATGCACCTCACCCATCCCTCTATGGCCAGCTTCCTGCATATGCATGTATGGACTGTGAGTATGAGCCTTTGCAAACGGCTTGCAAGCACATGCAGAAAGCCAACCCAGCTCTGCAGGGTTAGGAGAAGGCACACAAACTTGAGCACTTTGGGGCACTTCTCTAGGGAAAACAAAAGGGAGTCTCTCAGAATTCAACTGGCTTTGCAGGATACGGAGAAGGGACATAATGTTAAGAATAACACAAGAAGGAGAAAGAGATGTGGAGTGGGTGCATTCCATCTACGGAAGAGTTCTGAGAAAGCCTCAGAATCCCTGTTGGGCAGATTTGCAAAGGTATTTCTCTCCTAAGCCAGTTAGTAAAGACTGGAGGTGGTGATTCCTTCTTCAAATGCAAAGACAGCAATGCAAGACCTTAAGGAACACAAAAAAAATTAAGGAAACGAGGTACAATCAAAGAAATACAATAATTTTCTAGTAACTCTCCACAAATAAATGGAGATCTATGAATTTCCTGACGAAGAAATCAAAATAATTGTTTTAAGGAAGCTCAATCTGCTATAAGAAAATATAGACAATTCAATAAAATCAGGAAAGCAATAATGAATATAAAAGGGAATTTCACCAAAAAGATATAAAAAAAGAAGCAAATAAAAGTTCTGGACCTGAAGAAAACAAAGAAAATTAAATAGGTAATTGTGAGTGTCAACATCAGGTTTGACCAAGCAGAAAAATCTATGAACTTAAAGACAAGTCATATAAAATAATCCATTCAGAAAAGAAAAAGAAGAAAGAATCAAAAGGAAAGAAAAAAGACCATGAGCTTTATGGATTACCACAAGTGAGATTTAATGTATGAATTGTGGGGATCCTAGAAGGAAAAGGGGCAGAAAATTTATTTTAAGAAATAATGGCTGAGAATTCCCCAAATCTGTACAGATTTGGACAGGCAGATACTTGACACCAAAGAATCCCCAAACAGTTTTAACCTAAAGAGGTTTATACTGAGACACATTATTTTTAAACTGTCAAAAGTGAAATACATAGTGAGAAATTTGAAAGCAGCAAGAGAAAAGATTCTATCACATACAAGAGAACCCCTTTAAGGCTATCAGTAGATTTCTCAGCAGGCTAGGAGAAAGCGGGATGATATAGTCAAAGAGCTAAAAGAAAAAAGACTGCTAACCAAGTATACATTACCTGACAAAGTTCTCCTTCCTTTGAAGACTTTCCCTGATGAACAAAGACTGAGGGAGTTTACCACTAAACCTGCCTTACAAGAAATGCTATGGGAGTTCTTCAAACTGAAATGAAAGGACTCTATTAAGTAACACGAAACATGTGAAAGTACAAAACTCACTGGTAAAGATGTACAAAGTCAAATTCAGAATACACTAATACTGTAAGGATGGTGTATAAATCATTTTTAATGCTGGTATAAAGATCAAAAGAAAAACTATTAAAAATAACTATGGATGCAAAAATTTGCTAGTGAGTATACAAAAAAATTGTGACATCAAAAATATAAAATGTGGAGGAAGAAGGAAAAGGATAGAGTTTTTTATGCAATTGAAGTTGTTATCAGCTTAAAACGAGCTGTTGAATCTATAAAATGGTTTTTGTAAACCTCATTGTAACCAAAAAGCAAACACTTGTATAAAAAAACAAAAGATAATGAGAAAATAATCAAATCATGCTACTACAGAAAGTCATCATATCACAAAGGAAGATAGCCAAAGAGGAAGAAAGGCACTACAAAACAGTCAAAAAACAATTAATAAGATGGTATTAGTAAGTCCTTACCTATAAAACATTACTTTAAATGTATGATCATTGAAATATTATTTCAAATAGCCAAATATGGAAACAATCTAAGTGTCTAATCTAAGGATCAATGGGTAAAGAATTTCTTTTTGAATCAAGGTCATAAGGATATTTTCCTACACTCTCTATCCAATATCCCCAACCCTAACCTGGATGATTTTGAAACAAATCTGAGACATACCATGAAATCTATAAAGATTTTAGTGTATATCTCAAAAAAATAAGGACTCTAACAAAATAAATCCACAATACCATTATTAAGCCTAAAAAGTTAAGAATAATGTATTAATATCATCAAATAAAGTAGCTTATTTTTAGTAGAAATGATTAGAGCTGAATGTGGTAATATCAAGAAAAGAACTGAAGTAAGCCAGAAAGAGAAAGAAAAATACCATATGAGATTACTCATATATGGAATCTAAAAACAAAACAAAAGAAAACAAAACAAAACATAAATACAAAACAGAAACAGACGCATAGACATAGAATACAAACTTGTGGTTGCCAAGGGGGCGGAGGGTGGGAAGGGACAGACTGGGATTTCAAACTGTAGAATAAATAAACAAGATTATACTGTATAGCACAGGGAAATATATACAAGATCCTGTGGTAGCTCACAGCAGAAAAAAAAATGTGACAATGAATATATGTATGTTTGTGTATAACTGAAAATTGTGCTCTACACTGGAATTTGATACAACATTGTAAAATGACTATAACTCAATTAAAAAACGTTTTAAAAGAAAAAAGAAAAGAATGAATGAGCTGTGGGAGTTCAGAGGAAAGGGGAGTGGTTTCCAGCATTAAAGAACAATTCACCCAGGGGAAAGGATTATTTTTAGGACATTTTATAGCTATTTGTTTTTGGCTTTTCTCAGAAAAGTTCTGAAATAGTACACAGGAGGAAGTCCCTCTACTACATGGAATACTTGTGGATTTTGTGTTCTTTCCCTTTTCCCTAGTAAACAAGAAATATCAGAGAGAGGGATTCAGTGAGTAGCAAGGAAGCTGTATGTTTTCAATTTAGACAAATAGGGAGCATTCAAAGCCAAATTCTAATGATTCCATTATGAAGTTTATCTTTGTATTCATCTTCCTGATTGAATCCCTGGTTTAAAATCTTTTCTCTAGCCACTAAGGGTATCTTCAAATTGCTTGTTTGAGACAAGGCTATCTGGAATTATGTATTACCAAAATGTGCCAAACATTTTCCCATCCCTTCCAGCCTCTCTTTAGTGTTTCTGGATGATTTATTCAGGTCAGGTCTAGCCCTAAAATTTAATATCTAAAGATAGGTGAGAGGATTTTTTTCCTTATATAATTTTTACCTTTTAGGAACTCAGAATGCATGAGGTTAAAAAACAAAACAAAAATAAACAAAAAAACCTATTCCAGTAATAATGATGGTATTGGGTTATAACTTATACATAAAAAAATTCATGAGTCCCTAATTATATAAATAATCAAATAGTAAATGGGTAGAAGGGACAACCCATCCTTACAGTAAAATTACAATGAATAGATATAGAAAGAATGATAGAAATAGATAATAATTTTAGGTGATTATGATAGTAATAATTATTGTAAATAAAAAACATTAATGGATGTTAAAATTATTGAGTGACATATAGTGAAAAATAGAATATTTACAGTCTCATAGTATTTTACTACAATAAATTAATTAGAAGGGGAAAAATAGTAACTTTACGGTGGGAAACCATGGCAGGATTCTGGTTAACCAAGGTTAGCATCATCAATAATAAAACATACTGAAATCATAAAGACTGATGTCCCACCTCAGGCAGAGATGATACCCATCAACTTTAGAGACTGTTTTAGTCAGTCTCTTGATTCAAATGCTAATCTCTTTGGGAAACAGCCTCACAGATACAACCCAGAAACAATGTGTTAACAGAGAGCTGGTCATACTGTGAACCAGTCAAACTGACACACAACATTAACCATCACAAATGAGTTACTATTGCCTTTTTTTTTTAACAATTACAACTTTGCCTTACTCTATATTCTTGCCTCTTAGATTTAAAGATTTTCAATCATAGAGTTAATCCTACTTCCTGATAGCATTTTCTGTGCTGCTTTTCATTCACAAAACTTCTGACATTAAATGTGTAGGAGTTTTCTACACCAAACAATTCTCTAATTTTCTGTGGACACCAACTGGGTGTCCAACAATTCAATTCTGACTCTAATTACCCAGAGTTAGAATGACCCCATAGGTTAAGGCCTCATCCCACAAGGCTGCCCCTAATTCAGACACCAGTCACAAGTCCCAGGTTGCCACTGGTACTTTTGACCAATTGGCGACAAATCAGGGGTTCCCATGACCCCCTCTTTAAGTGTGATAATTTACTAGAACAGCTCAGAGAACTCAGAGAAATACTTACACTTCCCAGTTTATATATACTGACATCATAAATGCTCAATATAATGTTCCTAGAAGGGTACAACATCATTTCTGTGATATTCTTATTCAAAATACATAACTTCAAAGAAGGATAGTCTTCAAAAAATACTGATCAGTACATTTCAGAAGTGTCAAGATCATGAAAAATGAGGAAAGACTGAGGAACTGCCACAGATTGGAGAAGACCAAGGGGGCATCACAGCTAAGAGCAACATGAAATCCTGGACTGGATCTTGAAATAGGATAAGGACATCAGTAGGAAAACAAGGGAAATCAGAATAAGGTCTGTAGATTAGCTACAGTATTGTGCCAATGTTAATTTTCTGGTTTTGTTAATTGTATCATGGTTATGTAAGATGTTAACATTGGGAGAAAATCAATGAAGGGTACATGGGAAATTTCCATGCTATTTTTGCAATTATCTTTAAATCTAAAATTGTTCCAAAATTTAAACATTAAGTGGTGGGGGACTTCCAATAGTACATCAGTATATCCTGGCTTGGGTATATGCCATTTACAAAGATCTCACCCTTTGGGTGGCTGAACTGGACCATACTGGGACAGAGGAAATTTGCCCTGCACAGCAAGGCTTTTTTTTTTTTTTTTTTTTTTTTTTGAGATCCCAAACTTTCACTAAATGCTGTAAAGCCCTCAGAACCAGCAACAGGATAGTAAAGCCTGGGAAATATTTTTTTTATGCTCCATGCATGGTTTAGAGCACCTCTGGTAGTAGTGTTTGTTTGTTCTCAGATAGTTGGAGACATAAGGAGCCATTCTTAAGCATAACTGTGGAGTAGAGGAAGCCTTCTTTGCCATATGCAGACTTCTCTTTCTGGTCTTGTACCCTCACCTTGAGCATCTTGAGCATGCCTTATTCTTTCCTCCATCCTGCCCTTAATGCCCTCCATAGTCTCCAACCTCTGAAAGGAAAGGAAAGCAAGCACAAATCAGAAAAAAGTCTCATTAAACATGCTCCTGGTGGGAGTGCACATGTGTCTGTGGTTTAGGAAGTTCTAATGGCATCAACATCCAAACTTCTATTTGTCCATCCACAGGGAAGCAGCAAAACTGCAGTCAGGTAAGTTTGTACCTACTGTTGTGTCTCCCTTTCTGCCCCTTTTATCTTTCCCCTCATCTGCCTTTCCACTTTACACAGCTAGCTCTTCCCTGCCTTGCTCTTGCATCCACTGCTAAAGCAGGAAGAGAGCCAATAGCATTAATTATACTGATAGAGTGTCTTTCACACTAATATAATGTTCCTTTCCACTCATGGACAGCATGAATTTTTTTAAGGATTTTAGAAATTACACATGAGGCCAAAAATGATACTAAACCTTACACTGATTCCAGTGAGCAAGAAATACTCCTGGCACCATCAATACCTCGGGAGAAGGGGCAGGACTTTCAGGTCGACTGCCTTAGAATGAGACCTCTGACTTAGAGGTTGCATGAAAAATCTCCCAACAAAGCTCCATCCCACCCGGACCCTCACAGCCGTGACAGAATCTGGGAGACAATCTGATCTGCTCTGCAGACTGTCCAGTTCAGATGTGTGACCACCCAAAGAAGCCCTTTTACACTAATCCCCAGCTGCTTTCCGCCTTGTTCACTATCCCTGTCTCCAGAGATGGCATATGTGGAAACAGTATCAGGCCATCCCCTTATCTTGTTAATGAGTTAAAAGATGTTTGAGGGGAAAGACTGCGATTGCTATGAGTACTGACTTAACAGTTTAATTTCTATCACAGGCTTCTGACCTCCCATCTCCTTACCCAAACCTCCACTGTTACCATAGTGTAACCAATCTCCACCCCTGATTAGTTCACCAATTATTGCATTAATGACTTTTTCCTGTTCTGGAATCCAACTTAAGATCCATGTTGCATGTAGTTATCATGGCTCCTTGGTCTCCTCCAATCTCCCTATACCTCTGGGGACTTTCTTTCCTGCTACCCCAGCCACATGGTAATCAGATAAAGCTGAGTGTCGTTAATTCTCTTAGCTCAGCAGGGGCCAGTGGAGTCTATTCAAGGAGCTGCTGTGCTGCAGGTGAACACGGAGCTGTCATGCTGAACTGCTTTGCTTCTCACACGTTTCCAGTTTGCCCAAGAGGAGAGTTCTGAAATCAAGGGAGTCTGGAGACTTAGACCGAAGCTTCAAGCTGCAAGTACAAGGTAGGGTTGAAGTCTCATGCTTTATTTTTAAGGTTTTCAGGGATTTTATAGTTTACCCAAAAATTATACACCTTTAATTCAGAAAGAATATTTCCTTAAATTTTATAGCAAAATTAACATGCCAGGAAGATGCTCCATGTTTATTCCCTAGCTTGATGTATTCATTCTTATAGCCATGCATGCTTCAGTCGGAGAGGCTCAAACAGCGTAATTTCACCATTTTAAAGTATGACTGGATTACACAAACTGTCATGACAAAGCTGCTGTCCAGCCACCACCTACAACCCTGTTCCTATAGGCAGATGCCTTCTAGGTTACAAACAACTGACTTACGAATAAGCTTTTGGCTCACAACTCACTTATAAGTTGGGAACTGTTTGTTCTAATACAATATCCTAGCCACAGCGTTTTTATAAGTCATCGTAACAAATGGATCTTTTAATTTAATCCAGCACTACTTCAGGTTGTATGTTATTGCTTTCTCTAGATATCAAATTGCTTTCCCGTAGAGTTTCCCAGTAGGAATATCTAGTTGGGAAAATAGTCTGACAACTACAAAAAGGAGACATATGAAAAAGCAAGACTCAACATAACTCATTTATAATCAAGGGCCTTTGATGATGTACTTTGTCCTTCAGCCTCAGAATTCAGTTTTCCTACTCAATTTTCTGCTGTTCAAATGATGCAGTTGTTTCGTTGCCTGGGTATAGATGGTAGACTCCAGCTCTGAAAGCAACAAAGTTGGTGAAAAGCTCACAGGAAGCCAACTTCTTCTTTGAATCTTTTTCAAGGCCCTTTGTATTTTCAAAATGATCACAGGCCAGTGCAGGTGAGAGGCAGAGCCTTGCGGGTGAATGTGGCAAAGGGCCAGCCCTGAAAATTTTATTCTCCTTGGAAGACAGTTTTCACTAAAAGGAGAATGGGGAGGCGGGCATTGTACCCCAGAGGTCACTAGAGTTAAATTCTGAACTTCCAAGCCCCATTTTAGATTTGGGTCTGTGCTGGTTTTGGTTCTGGCTATAGGAAACTTCCATCAGTGGGGAAATCTTTCCTTCCCCTTACATGATTTTATTTTTCTAATCCTACTGCTTCCCCTCCTTCAGGTATCATTCATGCTTGAGGAGAGTGACCACTCATGTAGCAGACTCCCCAGGCTCCTTACAGATGAAGGTAACTGCTGATGAAAACATACCACAGGAGGGACCACCTGTGACCACAAGAATTTAAAAGGTGACGTGTGTAGATCATAATGCTCTCCGAAAATCTGACTTCCTGAGTAATTTTCAATTCTTTCAAGATAGGATGTTCTCTCTCTTCACTTATGATTTGGGATAATTGGATGCCTTAAGGGAGCCTTGAGACGATTGTATTGAAAGAGCCTCGCCTGTGGGCATGACTCATGCCAAAATAGAAATAGATCGATCCTCATGCCACTCACATAAAATTCCTAGCCTCCAAGAGTTTATCTTTTACATCAGGGGTCTGCAAACTGTAGCCCTCGAGCCAGATCTGGCCCATGGCCTGTGTATTTTTTTGTTGCTACTCAGCCTACCAGCTGAGATTTTTTTTCTTATACTTTTAAATGCTCGCTGAGAATCAAAACAAGAAAAATATTTTCTGACACATGAAACTTACTTGAAATTCAGATTTACGTGCACATGAATATAGTTTGATCAGAACACAGCCTTGACCATTCCTTTATGTCTGGCTTTTGGCTGCTTTTGTGCAACAGCTGCAGAGCTGAGTGGTTGCAACCAAAGCCACACGTGTGGTCTGCAAAGCTTGAAATATTAACTATCTGGCCCTTCATGGAAAAAGTTGGTCAACCCTTGTTCCATCTCCACTGAGTATTCACTTTTGCTCAGTGATGTGCAGCAACAAGGTGGGCATGCCAGGGGCAGGGGACAAGGGTCATAAGGGAGGGGGAGCATTCCAGGAGAATCATGAGAGAGCTTTAGAAGGCAGGTTTGCCAATGTCACAGGTTGTCTGAAGCTAAAGCTGCTCTTTGCTTTGTTTTGAAGAACTTTGTGCATACTTTTGGTTGAAGGAACCAAGATCCAGTAAAAATTGGACACATTGGGACATAGAAAACAAGGAGAGAACAGTTGTGGCTGTACCATAGTGACGCACTTCTCTCTGTCTCTGACTCCTGCTCTTTGCCTTGCTATCTTTAGTGGTTCTGTTTGAAATGAGAATTGGAGAAGTGGGGAGAGGGAGGGGAGGAGGAAGAGAGACAGAAAGAAAGAAGAAAGAAAAGGAAGGAAGGAAGGAAGGAAGGAAGGAAGGAAGGAAGGAAGGAA